TCAAGGAAAGGATTAAAAAGCAATATTGGATTTGGACATATTGCAGCTCATCAACTCTTGGGAATCACACCTCACCTCTTCCAGCCTGCAGCCCGATTCCAGTGCACACTCCAGTCCTCCTCTTTCAGCGATCCTTACCACCTACGGGCTACGCACCCCGCCCCTCTACCTTGCGTATCATTGCTTTTTCCCCTCTAATTTAAACAAGCTCGCAGCTACTGCGGCGGTGCATACGCCGTCAGCCAAGTGCTAAGCCTAGTGAAAACAGAAATTACTTGTCGACTTTTGTCAATATGTTTATGCTTTTACTGAATTACGTTTGTAACTGACCAATTTTCTGAATTTCTCATTCCAGGTTTCGTCTACTGAAGCACAGCCGATCTCGGCGCTCCCTTCCCACAACCTCACTAGCCGTCCACCAACGCTAAACCAGAAATCACAGAGCAATTCCCTGTTAAGCACATCCATACCAGCCCTACTGAAATGGGCATTAGAACGTTTCCAAAAATGTCTAATAACGGCTCTTTCATCTCCTCATAATTCTGCCTTTTTCAGCTTTAACAGCATGATTCTGCCTAATAAATATGCTTAATTTATCACGTTATAAACCAAGCAATCTATCTAATCTAGACGGCTGCAGCGCTCGGTTGCAATCAACATTACACCTGCCACCCGATTTCTGGCAATCGGAGGTCACAATTATATTTCGTAGTCCGTTTAACATTCAGATGCAGAAGTAGCCCACACATTTATGCTTAAAAATGATCCGCTGGATTTCGCCAATAACTACGGCGTTTGCACATAATTCACCTACAAGTTCCCCGTTTCTCTCTCCCTAATATCCCCCAGCTAAACTAGTGACCGGTTTTCTAATAGGCTATTTGCATTCTCATTGCGGAAGAACCTCCGGCTTAAGCACTTCTATAATTCTTAAGCATCAATTTGGAGTGATAGAAACTCAAGCATTAATAAGCTACTTGAATAAATCGACAAATCAGTCACCTTTTATATTCTGGAACAAAAATATCACGCTAAGCATAAACTGCTCTCCATCTTAGAACATCAAACACACATGCGCATTATCCCGCAGGGATGCCTTTCGTCACTCACCTACTTCATCTCGCAGCAGCAATCTCCGGAATAGAAGAGAAATTATCTAAATCCGATCTTGGCCGTAACAAACTCTGCCTGAAGAGCGTCGCGCACCAGACGCGCCGACGGCGCGGTGACGCGGCGAGCTTACGACAGAGAATAGTAGATTAATGCACACCAGACTCACGCATTCATACTTTATCAATAAACTAATTAATTGTACAAATAGCGCCCCGCGGCGCGGCAGAATACGAAGTGTCATGAATTGTGGCTGGGCACTACGGACAGCCGCATTGACTTCCTTAGTATTTATTTCCTTCCTGTGAAAGTCAATGGTTACAGGTTTCCAGCTTTCTTGAAAATGTTGTCTTTAGCGTTTAACACGGGAGTCACCAACCTCTGAAACTAAGAGCTACTTTCAGGCACCGATTAACGTGGAGGGCTACCAGTTTGATAAACACTTCTCAAATAACAAATTGCTCAATTTACTTTAATTATAATTAAGTTTTTGGTAATAATTAATAATATTCATCCAGGTGAAGTCACTGATCATGTTATGATTCTCTTAAAGTTACCAACAATGATTTAACAGGGTAGGAAAATACCCCGTAATTAATATATCAATGTGCAACACTATTTTATTTATCTTTGCAAATCTTTACATTTTTAAATGATTACTTCTATATTAGAGAAAGCTTACTTGTAAGTGGCGTTATGGTGAGCTATTTTAGAACAGGCCTGTGAGCAACACACGAGAGCCTCGTGGGCTACCTGGTGCCCATTGGTACCATATTTGGCGACTCCTGGTTTAACAGAAAAGAATTCATAAAGGTTTGTAACCATCAGGTGACGCTTAAAGCATGCGACCTGCTTATACTTACTTCCTTAAGCGCTGGAATAGAAGCCATCCATTTAGTATGGATATACAGCCATCCTCAGTATATCCTTTTTACACAGATGCTGCCCCCTTCGTGGGGTATATTATCGGGGCCGCCAATGCGCTTCTAACGGGCAATATCGTCAATACATTCTAAAAAAAAAAAAAAAAATTACTGTTCTACATGTTCCTAGTTGCATAGGAAATCGCTGACTCTCTTTTTGCTTTATTTTCAGAACTGGTATCAGAAGCAGAGCCGCAGCTGACTCCATCTCTCCTTTTAAGATGATAATCCCATAACCACAGCATACACAATTTGCGTCAGCATTCATTTATACATTTTAAGTTACCCCAGAACACCTCATCAGTTTCTCACTGCTCAACACATCCACACATTCCGTTCAATACCATTTTTGGTTTCAAAACACCTTAAAGTCATAGGACTATTCAGGCTTCCCACCAGATTCATAATCCAGTCACTCATTCAGAATTGGAGCCACCACCACAGCAGCACACAAGGGCTATCGTAACAACACATACAAACACTTGGAAGGTGGTCTCCCGACACCTTCAAATCTTATATCTGACTCAGCCACAGCCATCTCAGGGAAGCTCAGAGGACCCTCACCAGCAGACGCAGTAATCCCAGCGGCCAAGGGCATGGGCCTAGTCCAGGGAGAGAATACAACCCAACCATACCAGCTTCCCGAGGGCAGAGAAACTACCCAGTCTCCCAAGGGCGCGGGCATGACCCAGCCATCTAACTTCCTTTCTTCCTTCCAGCTGATTTGCACTCAGCCTTCTCCCCCTTTTCACTCACCTAACTCCAGTAGGAGTTCTCTCCCTGCCCAGGCCCCCTTGTCTACCCTGCCCCCACCCGCCCCCCCCCCCCCCCCCGGCCGCTGCCACAGAAGTTTTCACTTCTGTAGGACCCTGCCCCCCCCATGGCTCTGGCCCCCGCAGGGGCGTTACCCCGAGCTTCGATTCCCGCAGGAATCATCTCACTGCCCTGGCCTTAGCTTTTTATATTATATGTCATTCCATAATGACATATAGTATAGCACTATTTATTTTTCTCTCTGTTTGATTTTATTTATATAAATTTATATCTATATGCACCCACGCATATAAATATGAATTTATATATAGTGCTGTCACCCTCACGCTCTGTTCCCGCAGGAACACCCCCAGAGCACCTATACCGCCCATCACCCTTCAGTAAGAGTCTTCACCTCCCCCTCATCTTTCCGGACTCCTACTGGAGCCAGCTAAATAGCTCACCCAACCCCGAGCTGTGACACGAGTCATGTCACCGACCCTCCCCGGCCCTAGCTTTTATTTATGTTCATTTTTGTTTATTTCTCACACTTATCTTTTATTTTTTAAATTTATTTATATATATGTATATATATATATATGCACCCACGCATATAAATATATATTTATATATAGTGCTGTCACCCTCAAGCTCTAACTCCCGCGGAGTTAATCCCGAGCACCGGACCCCCGCAGGGGTCATCGCCCAACTGCCATTTCACCCTCCAGCTGGGGCTTCACCAACCATTCCTTTTCCCGACTCCAGCTGGAGATGGCACATACAGCTCTCTCTCCCGCAGGAGAGCCAAGAGCTTCGACTCTCGCAAGAGTCAGTAAAAACGCCCCCCCCAAGGCCCTAGATTACCCCATTATATATTTATATATCTATATGTTTCATATAAATATATAATTATATATAGTGCTGCCACCTCCCAGCTCTATCTCCGCAAGGAGTGTTCCTCGAGCAAATTACTCCTTCGGAGTCCCCGCCCCCCCTGCCCCCCTTCACCCCCCTCTCCAGCCGGAGTCCTTCCTTCCCCTTCCTTTATATGACTCCAGCAGGATTCCCGCCCACCCCATGGCTCTGACCCCCGCAGGGGTCTCCCCGAGTCTCTACTCAAGCAGGAGTATTCACAGCCCACGCCAACTCTGCTCGGGTTCCCGCAGGAACCTGTTTCACCCTTTGCTCCAAAGGAGCCCTCTTTACCTTTTCTTTTTCAAATAACTATATCCAGCAGCCGGATATAGCATTTCAAGCCTTTTGGGGAGTTTCTTCGAATACACGGCTGCTGTCCCGAGCTTCATGCATTTGGGGAGCTCTCGAGAACCACCTGATCTCGTACTCCCCTCACATGCTCTATGGACCTGGCGGGAGCCCTGGGCTCAACTATCTCCGAGCTCAGGGTTCTCTCCCGGGACAGCATGCCAAACCTGCTTACAGCTGTCAAGCAATATCTAAGTGTGAACTCTTGAAGTGAAGTTTTTAAACTAATTTCGAGAGGAGCACGTGATATAATTGACAGCAGCTGGCCACCTATCTACACTCATTAGTTAGCCAATCAGATCTATCCTAACCCACTATAAGTAGCCTAGCTAGACATTACTCCCTTATCTTCGTTTTCCGAAGAAACCCCCCATCCACCCCTTTTTCCTCCTTTTCTCCTTTACAAAAAGGGGAGCTCTCGAGAACCACCTGATCTCGTACTCCCCTCACATGCTCTATGGACCTGGCGGGAGCCCTGGGCTCAACTATCTCCGAGCTCAGGGTTCTCTCCCGGGACAGCATGCCAAACCTGCTTACAGCTGTCAAGCAATATCTAAGTGTGAACTCTTGAAAGATTAATTATTCGTTATTTTGTTTCAGAGGAATCCTACTTAAAAAAAACTGAATGTAAGACAAGTATGAAAATGTTAATTACTCTCAGGAAATTCCTATTGCACTCAGAAAATTTGTTTTTACTATATTTGCTTTTAATAAAGGGCACCTATTGTTTCCCTTTTACAAGATGTAAGATAAGGCTTTGTTGTCTCCAGAATGTGTCAATGTATTGCCAACTCCTGCTGAATACATTGTAGCTGTTTTTGTAGCCTGTGGCTTTAAATGGAAATGATCTGCTTCTCCCTGCCCACCGTTCCCACATGTGTTGTCTGCTCCTCATCATGCGTTACGTCAGATAAACAGCACAGCGACAGACAGACTCGAATGAAGCTGAAA